ATACTGATGTATCCTCACCTCGGGAGACGGGAGACGATGAGAAAAGCCAAACTGGAAAGGAAATGCAGGAGGCCGGGAAAGAGCACTAGAGAGGTTCAGGGGTCTCGTGATAGGCAGAGAAAGGTTTCCTGCGTGGGGATGGTGGGGATGGTGGGGGCGAGGTTGTCCTGCAGGCAGGAGTGGGAAAAGGGTCATCTCTTTCCCAGAGGGTAACAGTGATGGCTTATTGTGCCCGTGTGTTTTCCACTGGTAGAGAATACCATGACTGAAGTTGTCCTTTCCACCTCTGTTGTCCAGAATGATGTTTTACAGGAAAAAATATGTGCTATGAAGGGGCTGCCACAGAAGTATAATTTTTCGCACTGCTGCGGTAATGATTTTGAAAGAAGAAGCTGTTTCTTCTTGAACAAGAAAGATGGTGTAGGATTTCTGCCTCCTTTCCCTACTCTGGATCCGGAAGAGAAATGCCAGGCTTTCAAAAAGAGCTCAGAATCTTTTCTAAATCAGTAAGTTTAACCTTAGTAGAAAAATGGTTTAACTTAGCGGTTCTCAACCTTCCTAATGCCAGAACCCTTTAATACAGTTCCTCATGTGGTGACGCCCAACGGGCTGGGGGTCTGTATTAAAGGAGGAACTGTATTAAAGGGTCGCGGCAGTAGGAAGGTTGAGAACCGCTGGTTTAACTGAAGAATTGCTCTTAGGCTACATACCCACCTACCTTACAGGAGCGTGGCTGGGTTCACTGATGAATTCATTCATTAACTCATTCACTTATTGTGTGTCAGAGTCTGTGCTCAGGGTTGGGGATACTAATATGAATAAGATATGGACCCTGCTTTTAACTTATATCAATGGAATGTGTATTATAATGTGGTAAGTCCTAGGGCTGAGGTGTGCACAGGGTGTTGAATTGCTAGGAGGCACGTGGAGGGAATACTACCTTCTTCCCAAGGGGAAGTTGCAGCTCTTTACATCTAGCAAACAACAAATTAATGGGTGTTTAGCAAAAAAACCTGTTTTTAATAGTATAGTCATCACAGAAGCAGAGACTTCTAGAAAGCTGGTGAGCTCGTGGAAACTTAAATCACAAGTTGACTTGAACATGAGTAAATCTGCGCCCGGATCTCAGAAGGAGCAGGTGGGAGCGTGCACAGAGCTGTCTCTGAACACGGAGGGGAGATGTGAGGACCCGCGGCCGCAGCCGCTCAGCGCTGGGGTGGTGTCACAGTGTCGCCCTCACTCTGGAGTCAGCCCCTTCCGTGGTGATGAGCACCTGGAGGGCCGGGGATGCGGCCCTCTCCTGGCGTCCTCTGTGGGGGACCCGCCGTCCCTCTCTCTCCGTTTTGCAGCCTGCTCCTCTGTCTCCTCCGGTCATGTCTTCCCCTCCCCTTTTCCCTTCCTTCCCTTCCCTGGTCTACCGTCCACGCCTGGCCTGTCTTCCTTTCCCCTCTTCTCTCTCTTTGATTCTTAACTTTTTACAGCTACGTGTATGAAGTTGCCAGAAGGAACCCCTTTGTCTTTGCCCCCACGCTTCTCAGTGCGGCCACTCGCTTTGCAGAGGCGGCTGGAGCCTGCTGTGAAGACCAGCGCGAGGTCGGCTGCTTTCAGAAGAGGGTGGGTGTCACGCCTGTGTCCCAGGAGGGCGGGTGTCACGCCTGTGTCGGAGGAGGGTGGGTGTCACGCCCGTGTCGGAGGAGGGTGGGTGTCACTCCCGTGTCTGAGGAGGGTGGGCATTACGCCTGTGTCCTCGAGAGCCCAGCGTCACTGACACCAAGGTCCAGACCTGCCCAGAGCGTCGTCACTGCCCCTGACTTGCCCTTGTCACATTCACTGATTTTCATCCTGTTAACCACCAGCTGCTACTCCAAGTAATCTTGTTGCTGAGATCCTGGAACACAGCCCCTCACTTTCAGGTTTCTCCCTTGGTTTTTTGGTAAATGGGGAAGAAGTCCTAGTGAGTGAATACCCAGGATGAAAGATACTTTATCTTCTGTCTCCAATGTACGTTCTTTTGACTACCCTACAGTGGATCGTCTCAGTAGAGGTGGCCCAGCTTCCAGCACTCTGTCTGGCAGGGGAGTGTCAGCACCTTCCTGCAGGCACAACTCAGCCATCAGGAAGGCTGGCCTCGACTTTGTCACGTGCCACAAATGCTTAGTTCTTTTTATATATAAGTTTACTGAAGCAAAACTGTCATAGGTTTTCTGTCTTCGAACAAACTTTGTGATAATTCGATCGACTTATAGTTTTACAATAAAGAATAAAAATTACTCTGTTTCAAGAGAATTTTTTCTCTCTTTTTTAGGCAGCACCTATCATGCAATATTTAAGAGCATTTTCTTCCTATCAAAAGAATGTCTGTGGTGCACTTCTGAAATTTGGACCCGAAGGCTTAAACTCGATGTGAGTTTTATACACGTCACTCATCTCTGGTCGTCTTCCTTTCTGTTAACCAGTCAGTGAGTTTCTATGTAGAGTTTTCCCGGTTTTCCAGGGAACTAGGCTGCTCTGAGCCCACGTGGATGGCTCAGAACCAGACTATTAGGTCAGGTGAGACGAGGCCGGGGAGATGGGAGACGCTGCAGAGAAAATCGGCCACTTCTGAGATGTATTTTGGTTAATTGGAAATCTGACCTGGTCTGGGTGTCCCTAACGAGGGCTGTAGACCCCTCCGTGCTCTAGACCTGACTGATCCATTCGCCTTTGACCTTAGGCGAGGTGAGGAGACCACCTTGCAAGGATAAATTTTATCTCTGCTGTTCACCCTCACTGATTAGTCACAGTGCTAGAGCAATGTCTTGAGAAAAATGTTGAGATTTGAAGTAGGTCAGCAGGAAAGCGTTCTATGATGGATTATCTATGCCTTTCATGGGCTTACCGTAGGAAATGGTGGCCCTTGACAACATGTCTTGCTATAATTAAGCTTTTTTTTTTTTTTGCTCATATCAGGATCCTCGGTGGGGAGCTAAAAATATCATCCTAATATTTTCAAAGTGATCTTGCAGGCTGTCAAGGTACTATCAGCACTTTAACAAAGATGTTTATAAAACCCAAGGGTACCAGTGGTTTTGGAGCTATTTATACGGTATTAGCAAAGGACTCCCACCTGTTTTAGTTGCTGATTTAATTATCTTAGTGGTTTATCTATTCTTTTTCCAGAAACATTGCTGTACTCAGTCAAAAATTTCCCAAGGTTGAATTTCAGGAACTCACTTCCCTCTTAGAAGATGTTTCTTTCAAGTATGATGCCTGCTGTGAAGGGGACGTTGTGGGATGTATCCGCAGCTCGGTAAATGTTCTCAGAACCAAGTAAAAATAGTGATTTTTGGTAACCATTGTTTATTCTGAAGTTGCCCTAATGTGTGGTTACTTTGCTAGGCTGAAATTGGAATGTTAATAAATTATTGAATAATAACTTAAAATATAAAATTTTTACAAATAAACCCAAATAAAATTGGGGGTTTTTAATACATGGAATTTTAATTTAATTTGATTGTATCCTTTTAGTAGTATTCCAGGCTCCCCCTATAGATATGCACAGAGTTTTTAAAGATTACTCAGCAGAGATTCTATCTTATATAGTTAAATGTCTTGAGGCAAAACATCAGGAATTTAGAATTTTTGAAAGCCCATTAGTCCAGACTGAAGTTTTCTTTTCCATTACAAAGTCTTGTTTAGAAAAGTTAGATGTTACGATTTGCTGTCACTCTGTTTCTAGAAGCTGCTTCTTTGAGCTTCCTCGGGCTATTTAGGTAGTTCTTCCGAAGTTGGTAGGTGCAGTGACTTTTAAATCCTTCCTTCTTTCCCTGTTCCCATCCTTCTTTTCTTTCCCTCCTTCCACCATTCCCTCCTTCCTTCCTTTCTAATTGACAATTAAACGTTGTATATTCTTATGCTGTACAATGTGATACTTTGATATACACATACACACATTTGTACACATGTCTATATGTGTCCACACATCACAGAATGTCTAAGCCAAGCTATTTAACATAGACATTACCTCACATATTTCTTTCTTTCTTTTGGGGGGGCAACACTTCAAAACTCCTTTAGCAGTTTTGAAATACCCCATATGTTGGTGTGAGCTGTGGTCACAATGCGATTGTGAGGCACTGTGGATCTCTTGAATTTATTCCTCCTGTCGGTCTGATATTTTGAGCCCTTTGGGCAACACTTACCTAATTGCCTCATTCCCCATGCTCTGGTAACCTCTACAGTGACTGTCTAAGGGAATATGGTGTGAATATATGTCTGGCATGGGAGAAATTGTTCCTGCACTTGAAGGAAATACAATTTTATTAGAAAGATCCTGATATTTTCTTAGTTGAAACCAGGCTTTATCTTAGTAACTTGTAATTGGTTTAACTGTTTTTGGCTCTTGGTGTAGACAGTATGTTAACTAAATAACTTGGATTTTTAGAGTACTAAGAAATGTCCATTTTATTTCAAGCAGTGGACAACAGATGTACCCAAGAATTTTTCCCCTAAGTGTCCCCAGTTAAAGCAACTTCACTTGTGATTTATTTTTATATTGTTTGATTGTTTATGGGAATGTGGGTTTTATAATCTTAAATCTAATGTATTGAATTACAATAAAACTGTAGATGTTCTATAAGGTTTAGACCTCAGGAGAAGGGATCACATTATGTCTCAAATTTCCCTCTCTTTAATGCCTTTGTAGAGAAATAGTAGGAGGTGAATTATAGTTAATTGAAAGTAGAGATAAATTCTCAGAGACGCTCTGCTGAGGACAACAGTGGCCCCAGGTGAGACATGGGTGTCTTTGTTAAGATTGGCTCCCTGGTGCCACCTGGCCTGCTGGAACACTGTGCCAACGCCCCTTCCAATTCCATCACCCTGAGCATCCTCCCATTCCTCACTCTCAGTGTTCACAGGAAGACTCCAGTCAGTGGGAAGGGCTTGAGGAACATCTGGAAGGCTTGAAACAGCCCGAGGTGTTGATGGAAGGAGCTCAGGGCAGTTCAAGCCGGGCTGGAACAGAGAGGAGGAATGTGCAGCTCGCTCTGGGGAGTCTGGAAAGGGACCAGGAGCCTTTTGGTTTTTAAAAATTATTCAACTAACATGTAAATAAGATAACCTCATCCTCTCTCTAATTCCCAAACTTTGTAATTGCCCTGAAGGGCAGGGATGGGGCCAGAGTAATGTTTTCTATTTTGTGCCTTGTTTGATGACTTGGACAGCGTTGAATTAAGATACCCACAGGAAGATGAGGCCACGAGTGTGATAGCTTCTTATATTTGCAGTGTGATAGCTTCTTATATTTGAGAAATTGTCATCTGTAGTGGTTCATGCATTCTCCATCCTTTTTTCACTTATTAAATATGCATCAGGTTTTTGCTATATGCATGGCAATGCAGTTTCAGGCCAGGAGAGGAGATGAGGATTATACACACTACAGTCACATGTCTCTGAGGGCCTCCCCTGAAAGCACAGGTGGACTTTTATGGAAAAGAGACTACATTTAGAATATGGAATACCAATATGCCAGAGTAGGAGGAATAAAGTATTCAAAAGATTAACACCTAACAACAAATGTAAATTTATAGTAGAGCCATTTTTCATATTTATGTCATCTTGAATCCTGATAAAGATTGCATTAATGTAAAACTTCGTAAGTACCGAGTGAAAGCAAAATTTAAATGAGTGTTATTTGTATTAAATTAGCAGATGAAGTGATCCCAGACGTTATGCTCAGGACTGGTTTCCCATGCCACTATTCCATTATGAAAGAAGACCCAGTCCTGAAGACACTTGGAGTATAAAATCATTCTCATTCTCATTTGGCACAGAGCAAGGTTGCGAGCCGTATTTGTTCAAAACAAGAATCCATCTCCAGCAAAATCAAAGAGTGCTGTGAAAAGGAAGTACCGGAGCGTGGAGAATGCATAATCTACTCAAACAAGGACGACAGACCAAAGGATTTATCACCAGGAGAAGCAAAATTCACTGACAGTGAGAATGTATGTCAAGGACGAGATGCTGACCCGGACAACTTCTTTGCTGAGTAATATCTTTCTTTCTAGAAATTTATAAGATTTGACTAATTAGGGTGGAGTGATGTGGACCCATTATTTCACTGGGTATCATTTAATTTCTAAAATCATGGCCATGGACTACAGTGTTTTCCCATAGTTTTAGGAAAGAAACAACTGGCATTAAAGCAATGGCCAACCTTTATGGAGTACTTGACATGTGCCTGGCACCAGGCCGGTTATCTATTCTAATTCTCACAGTAACCATGTCCAATTTTCCCCAACTTTTCCAATGAATGAGATACAATGAAGTGACTTTTTCAAGATCCACAGCTCAAAAATGACAGAGTAAGGATTTGACTCCAGGAGGTCTGGCCCATGAGACTGTGGGCAGCAGTCATACTGTGTTACCTCACAGCAGTTATGGGGAAGACTCATGGATTTGCAATCACAGGGACTGGATTGGAGTCCTAATTGAGTCACTTGGACAAGTTAGCTTTTCTGTGCTTTAGTCTGTCATATGTAAAATTCATATGAACCCATCGATTCATTCACGTAAGAACATTCATTCATTACTTTATTGGTAGTGAAATATAATTCAGGGACTTTACTGGGTTTCTACCTCCAGGAAACCGTCTCTATAGGGAGTGTGATGTGGGAAGAGACAGACATATAAATAGATAAATAAATAAATGCAGAAAGAGTTTCTCTTCTTTCCAGTAGCACCATGTTCCACACAATGTGGGGACAAAGGAAGTAGGGGTTCCTTGTGGCTGGGGACCCTGTAAAGGCTGAGAGGGAGGCGGTACTTGAAGAATTTGCTGGTGACGTAGACAAGTGAGGCAGAGCATGGGCCGAGTGTCACGCGGCTGCTGGCTGCAGCAGTGCGAGGGGGTGGGGCTGGCTCCTGCAGCCCTACTAAGTGGGGGGGGGGTGTTCCACTGAATGGCTTTCACTGAAGAGTAAACAAGGACAAATCACCTTTTTTAAAAGAAACTTCTGGAATGAATTCCAGTTTGGCGCTTAGATGACTGGACAGGCAGTTTTCCTCTCCAATGAGATGGACATAGAGATGAAAAAGCAGATTTTGTGGGAAAGAGAATATATTTAGTTCTGAGCACACTGATTGTGAGGTGTAGGTAGGACAACTAATTGGGACTATCAGAGACTTTTAAACGTGAACTTGGTGTGACAGGAGGTCTGAGTTGAGGATAACAGGATAGAATAACAACTAATACGTATTGAATACTTACTCAATTTTTAGTGCTTCTTATCTACTAACCAACTGAATTTTCAGAGGTGCCCTTTAAGGTTAGTATAACGTTTTAATCCCAATTTTACAGGTGACAAGACAGGCACAGAGAGGTTCAGTAACTTGCCCCAAAGCCACACAGCTTGCATGTGGCAGAGCCAAGGTTCAAATCCGGGCAGTGTGGCTCAGAGCTCCTGGTCTCATAAGCACTGTGCTCCCTTGCACCTTGCAGGTGGTGGATATTAGATCAAATCCAACTAAATAGAATGATAGATTGTGCCTGACGTGTGTGCTCCATAACAGAGGCCACTCTGTCACCATCATCTGCACCTCTATCTGCACTGTCGTCACCGTCACAACGTAGACAGTATTTGAGGCCCAGGGAGGCCAGCAGGGAGTGTGCGCAGTGGGGCAGAGTTGTAAGGTGCAGGCTTTCCGGATATAAACATCTGTGTAAGGCTTCGGTGGACTCCCCAGCCTCTCATAGGCTTCCAGGGCCTTTTGACTGGGGGAGGCATTTTTATGTGCGTTTTTACTTTTTCCAGGGAAGAACCACATGACTTACGTCAAATATTAAGAGGAGCCCTGAGTCTCTGAAGGTTAAGCACCACTGCTTTAGAGTGTGGGAATATGTCCCACAAGTGGACGGAGAAGGCAGATGGGGAGTTGGAGAGATGGTGTCAGGAAAACCAAAATTAATCAAGAAAATCAAAGGCTGGAAAAAAAAAAGAGTGGGGGAAGGATGAAAAGAGTTACCTGGTCATTAACAACTTATATAAAGTATCGCTCTCACAAAACATGGGCTATCTTAACTCACTGTGACTGAACAGATGAGATTCCTTTATGGAAAAGATTATACAAATAGCATAACTGAGGGACTTTGGGAAGACATCTCTCTCTTGAGAAAAGAGTTAACCAGTATAGAAAAGAATGGAGTAGGCAGCCCAGGACAGGGGCAAATTGAACTTCATATGTTCCCTTCCCAGCGGGGCGCTGCTCCGATGGTGGCTCCGTTTCCTCTTGTATGACAGTGTTTGTCATGAGGACTGAGTGAGCCGCAGTGAAAGTGTCTGTGCGGACCAGGAAGTCTGCGCCTCTCTCTCCCTCTCACACACAAAGCCTGTCCTGTGCCCACCGCCCAGTGGGGGCTCAGTAAGTGTTAGCCTCACGTCCCTCTTTCCTGCTATCTCCCCAAATCCTGCTCACCTGGACTCGGAAGCTTCTGACTGGGACCACAGAAAGCCCTGCTAATGTCTTAGAGCTGAAGGGAGGAAACTCCCGTGCACAGCAGGTGGCAAGACAGAGGGCCCTGGAGGACTGCACAGGGAGTGAGACTCAAGCCCTGACACCAGCGTCCCGCGTGGAAGTTCAAATGCATTTGGGGACACAGTTATACTCAATATACAGAGTATTTCCTAAGTACTAAGGACACAATGTAATATTTCCAATGCTTTGCAAACCAGAGGAGGGACTTAGCATTTGAATGAAAACTCAGTTGTGGGAGATTTGACTGGATTACAAGATAGTGGACTTTCATGTTTTCCTTTTTCTCTAAGTTCTAATATGCAAAGTATTTTCACACGTTGCAGGTTCACTTATGAATACTCAAGGAATCACCCAGACCTGTCTATCCCAGAGATTCTAAGGATCACTCACGAGTACAAGGCCCTCCTGACCAGCTGCTGTAACACAGAGAACCCTCCAGATTGCTACCGGCATGCGGTAGGTCCCATCGATGTGGGGGTTATAGGGCCAGAAAATGAGAAACAACAACAATAGCAGCAAAACACTTAAAAATGAATATCAGAGTTTAATTCCATCCAGGGAGTAGAAAATGATCACTTAGAGGATTCTGTGGCTCAGTGTCAGGCGACCACTGGACAGCACATGTGGCCAGTCTGGCTGACCCATAGTGATTTCAATGACTAGTCCAGTGTGTTGATTCAAAAGCTCTTCCCATTAAACATTTTATGTTTTTAATTTATATACTTTGCATTTTATTGAGCCACATTAAATTTTTGTATGATTATAAAATAAATGAATTGTAATTGTAGACAATTAGAAAAGTACCAATACTTACAAAAAAAAAAACAAAAAACAAAAAAACCAACCATCTGATACCACCACTAAGAAATAGCTTAACAGTTTGCTTCATCCTGTCTGTGTAGATATGTGTATATGTGTGTGTGCTTTAAAAAGAAAGTTGGAATAATTCTTAGGAAATGTTTGGGTCTGTTTTTTATTGGTTTAATAGAAAACTTTGGGGGGGGGTTTATAAATGGTGCTGTATTAGTTTCCTCTTATTTTCACAAACTTAGTGGCTTAAAACATCAGGTATTTACT